AAGACAGAGAACATTTTTAGAACGCAGACTGCAGACTGTTTCTTTGGTGAGCAATCTTTTAGCCCCGATTACGTCAAACATGCAGACGTACAGCTGTTTGGAGGGTCTGAGAAACAAAGCACGAACAGGCAGCAGCAGCAAACAGCAGTGGGTAACGACTGGACTGGTTTTATTCTCAGCATAATATTCAGGAGTATTTAGGACAGACAGCAGTGAAACTGATTAACCTGTTTTCAGCTGTGTTGCATTCAAAGTGGCTCCTTTCAGACATTCAGAAGGAAATGGCAGCTCGCAGACAGGAACACGATCCAGAGCTGAACCTTGGAAATTGAATTCTCCTTTACCAGGTGTCCCTCTTTTTAAACTTCTTTCGGTGTAAATGTTTTGTCCGTCAGCACGAAGCGCAGTGGGAGCGCAGATGGACACAGATGGGGTTTCAGACAGAGCAGAATTCCTAATGTATTAAAAGTCAAATCCAGAACATGGTGTGTATGTGTATGTCCTGAAGCTGGTCAGATTAAACAGCTGTCCATAATCCCACTGTGGGAGCAGACGGACAGGACTGTCCCCTTATCCTCCTCGTCTTTGCTTCCCTCTCCTTCCTTCATCACACTCATGTTTGGCTCTTGCACAGTAAAGAGGATTTGGGATAATAATAAATACATAACATTACATTATGTTGTTTGTCTTTCTGCTGCTCCTCTCAGCGGGGGGTGCCACAATGATCGAACTCGTACAAGAGGCATGTGTTTAAATTCAAGTCATTTCAGTTTATTTACAAAGCTCCAAGTCACAACAGAGGTCATCTCAGGGCACTGAACAGAAACATTCACAAACATATAAAGTCAGCTACTTATCTAAAGAGCCAACAGATTGCTTTGAGTTTTCACTTTGTCGCAATCTCCCATCTTAAGCGAGCACAGAGGCAACAGTGGAAAGGAAAAACTCCCTCATGAGGGAGAAAGCTCCAGCAGAATCAGGCTCAGGGCAAGCAGCCATCTGCTTTGACCAGCTGGATTTGAGAGGAACAGGAAGGGGGAACAGATACACAATGGCAGGTCCAGGATGGAGGCAAGCAGGTTGTTCTGTTTCTCTAGGAGAAAAGACAAAAATAAAAAATATAAATAAATCAGAAATCACATGTTAACAAAGAATAATTACAAATACAAACTATTCATTTGATAAATGAGGTCAATTTGTCCTCCAGTAGTCTAAGGTTATAGCAGCATGGGATAAGGAATAGGTCAGGAAACCAAGCTGACTATAGGATTTATATCGTTTTATTCCGGGTGCCCTTTCTGATGCAACCTGGGCTCAAACCTGCAGCCTCAGGATTATGAAACCACAGCTGATCACTGTGCTACTGCGGCTACCAATCAAGTATATACTATAACTGTTTAAAAAATATAGATCAAATTTGAAATACATGAGTTATTTTTGTAACAGCTGCAACCTAAAAATGTGTATAAAATTTAAATTATTAGTTCTGCACTACAGCTCATGTCATCATCATTATATAAATATTAACAGAAAACTTCTTAGACTCTGAAAACTGACGGGTTATTCTGATGACTCAGTTGCTGGGTTAAAGTTATTGGGTCATGGGTTTGGTTGATTTGACCAAAAATTAGGTCAAAACAGTTTTAATCCAGGGTTTAGGCTGGAGATGATCCGTGTCTTCATCATTCTGCCATTTTAAGCCAGCAGCTGGATTGAACTCTGCTTTAGGATGGAAGAAGTAAAGTAAGAAAGAAAAGCAACTTGTAAGAAGATAATGAACCTGATTGAATTTGTGATCGACTTCAATTTGTACTAAACGATGAGTTTGGCTTCACAAAATATTCATTGAAGCTAGTGAGCTGATGCTAATAGCAGTTAGCACCAGCTAGCAGCAACTCAAGTTGTATATATGTAATAACTAGAGTTTGAGGGTTCTCTTTTAAACTCAAATTTTTAGTAACTCTATCTCAACAAGTTAGTAATTTTTACTCTAATTTTTTGTGTGTCCAAAACATAACCCTGTATGCTGAGTCAAACTGATAACCCTGCTAAGTTAAAACTATCCAGAGTTTGGCTCAGTTCAAATTTAACCGAGTGCTGCATTATTAATTTAGCTTGAACCCAGCATGTTTTCGTGCATAAAATACTTTAAATTTAACTATTTGAAAATTCACAAAATATTAAAATTAGTTGTAAATTAACTAATTTATTTCAGCATGATTTAGTTGTTCATTTTGGGTAGGCTAGTGCCTAAAAACTGCTGATTTAATGACAACCAAATTAATTACTTGTAACCAAGAACAGGGTCAAATTGGAACTGAGCCGACCCTGGATAGTTTTAACTCTGCAGGCTATCGTTTTGACTGAGAATAACAGGTTAAATGTATTGTTTGTCACCATCCATCCATCCATTATCTTTACCCGCTTCTTCCATTTTGGGTCACGGGGGTCGCCGGTGCCCATGTCTGGCAATCACAGTGCGAGAGGCGGAGTACACCCTGGGCGGATCACAAGTCCATCACAGGGCCACATAGAGACAAACGAGACAAACAACCATTCACTCTCTCACTCACACCTAGGGACAATTTAGAGTTACCAGTCAGTCTAACATGCATGTTTTTGGTCTGTGGGAGGAAACCGGAGTACCCGGAGAAAACCCACGCAGCACGTAGAGAACATGCAAACTCCACCCAGAAAGGCCCCCGGACCGGGATTTGAACCAGGGACCTGAGAGGCAGCAGCTCTACCAGTTGCGCCACCGTGCTGCTGCTTGTAACAAAAAACTGGGTTAAAATAGCTTCTTAAAACGTGAGTAAAAAGAATTCAAAGTCTGGGTTATCAGATGATGACATGAGTCGGTGCTACTAGGTGACACTAACAACTAACTCAAAAATAGACATATAGACATATAGGAGGGAGAGAGAGAACGAGAATATAGCTGTAGGCTAAAAGCGCATCTTACCACACTGGACGGAGTTATGGGGATTCATATCCTGGTTCAAAATTAGAGTTAGCTCTCCATCTAGTCTGGTGAAATTCAGCAACAGACATGGAAAGAGGAACCTGGCATGTGTGAAACTGACCTAATAATCAATGACCCTGGGTTTTATCAATATCAAAAACCATCATAAATATAAGCAATACATGTACATGTTTAATCATCATTACTACATTACTATAAGTTCATAATATAAATAGAATCAAGCTCATTATTCGAGTACTCTTATATCCCTCATATTAAAGGTCCTAATATTGCACCTTAGCACATATAGCAATAGCATTTCACCATTTCAATGTACTTTCAATTTAAATGCTTCAATGTTAACACTAGGAGCTAGTAACTTATTGCAAGAGGCTTATTTTTCCTTATCCAGATCAATACAAATGCAGGTGTTCAAAAATAGTATAACAATACCATATGTGACATTTAGTATAGAAAATTATTAATCACATTCAAATAAATGTAGCAAGAGTGTTGATTTATGACAGAGCCCAATACAATAGCATGGAGGCTAGCACTAGCATGCTTGCTCCAGAAACAAACAAAAAAACGAACTCACAAGTTCCCACTTTTAGAATGCACCGTCAGCTAGAGGTTTTTTCCACAAACAAGAGACATCTAAAATGTGAGAGTCAGAAATGGCAACATAGGCATTAGATAAAGGACTTTCAATGACTTAAACCCAACCTGCAGCAGCTAGCCTAGCCTCTCACACATAGCCTGGTTGGGAGTGGCACGATCTGTTCCGGAAGCATGATCCGTACCGTGTATTCTCTGGGCGCAGGAGTGATGCGCCCAGAATGGTCCTATATCTTTCAATGAAGAGGAGCTAGCTACGCATGTACAACTTTTAACAAGAGTCTATGGGCTAAGATTTTTGTGCCCGAGGGCGGAAATACGTCGTTACCAATCAGACAATGTTTTTGAAAGAAACAACTTTACTCATCATTAACTATAAAATATTTATCTTACACAACAACAACAAAAATATACATATATTTCAAAATATTTTTATTTTAGTATTTCATTTTTATTTAATTTTTTTTATGTCTATTCAAGGTAATATGATGAGTGGTGAGTGGTGGGGCGGCACCCTAGTGTCCTCTATGGGCCAGTCGCCACTATTATTAATTCGATCAGCCAGGTTAAACATCCTGATACACTCCAACCCAACCTTTGGGTCAAACGTTTTGACACAAAATTTGGTCAAACCAACCAACTCAGCAAGTATTGAGTTATCAAAATAACTCAGTAGCTTTCAGTGTGTAGTTGTAGCTTACCTATGTAAAATGAGACCAGTTTTAATAGTGAAGTTTGAATGATCCTGTGGTAATTTAATCACAACGTACAGTTTGGATGCATTGTTGGGGCCGAGATGGTGTAGAGGCAGGGCAGCCGGCTTGGGACCCGAGAGTCCCAGGTTCGATCCCCAGTCACTGCACATCACGTGGCGTCTCTGGGCAGCACGTCTAATCCCCAAAATGTCCCCGGGCGCTTTCAATAGCTGCCCACTGCACCACCTGGTGGTGGATGGGTTAAATGCAGAGACTAATTTCGCCATTGTATGGAAACATACAGTGCTGACATTGTGATGACATTATTATTATTATTATTGTCCTGCAGACAGGTTGCATTCTGTATTGAAGCTGCCATCAGCCAGTAAACACTAAGTGCAGGTGTCCTAAAACTTCAGAACTAGTCCTTCATTTCAGACGAATAGAGGACTTGTTTGTGGGTTTAACGCTCTATAGATGAAAGCAGGTTGCATCTATTTATACCTGCCGCCCCATCTGGCTCAGTTTTGTGTGTTTACGTTCAGAGCGTCTAGCGTGGGGGCAAACAGCCGAATGCCCCTGGTGTTCTTGAGGATCACAGTGTCAATGGCTCTCGTGCAGCTCTTTAAATACAGACACCAGCTGTTGAACGCTTCGACGTCAGCTCTCAGAAACAGGTTCACACAAGCACTGAGGCCAACCAACGCCGGAGGTGGAGCACACCAAATGAAAATGTGCGATATTGTTTTAACACGATGGCTGATGAGCAGAATACCTTTACACTGCAGCCACACGCAGGATTTAAAGCCAGGTAAACACGCATAAAGCTTGAGGCTTTAGCTCATTTGCTGTGAGAGCATTTGTAGTGGAGCTTCTTTTATTTCTCTTCTGTAAGGTGAAAACAGATTATCTCTGTAGCCAGCAAGTGGAATGTGATGACATGAACCTTTTTTATATTAGATTTTTATTCTTAAAGTTGGAATGTTTCGTCAAAGTTTCTACTATATCTACAGTATTGAGTAGATTATCTCAAATATTCCTCTGTAATACTTTAAAAAAGATTAAGAAAATACTTTTTTTTTTCCTTCTTTTCGTACGTTTGGGTTTTAAAATGTGATATATATAAAAAGTGGTAAAACGTGATAATTTGCTTCTGCCACTTTTTCAAGCAAAAGAGAGAAAGAAAGAAAGAAAAGCTTCATAAAACAAGATTCTTTCACCATCAGCAGCCATAATGTTACATTTTTAATGAATTAATTATTTCTAAATAAGACTAAAGCAAATATTTGAAACGTCTTTTAAAAAACTCTGATTTAAGGCCAAGCATTCCTTGGAGGAATCCATACCGCCCGTCGACTTTCAGTTTTAAACTAAGTTCATCTTATGTGAAATTGAGAAATGATGAAGTCTTTGGTCACCTTGTGTGAATAATGTTAAACAATCTCGTGCAGAAATGTGGGATTTTGAAAGAGGTGTTAGCACTCAGAGAATGCCTTTCAGATTAATCTACTACCTCGCTAAATTTTAGCAATGTTGTTGTAAAATCAATTTATATAATCAATATATATATATATACATGTATATATATATATATACATATATACATATAAATATATACATATATACATATACATATATACACATATATATACATATATATGTGTGTATATATATATGCTTTTTATATATATGTATATATATGTATATGTATAAATATATATATATTATATATATATATATATATATACATATATACATACATATACA